CCCCCCCCCCCCCCCCCCATCCTTTTCTCCTTCTCCCTCCCCCCGCGCCGGTGGCACGCCTGGGATCATCGAACGCATTCCATGTGCATTTTGCAGTGTGACCTTCTTTCGGAGCTCCCCATTTGCACTGCTTTGTCTATGTGAGGCATCCATTCGAAGGCATCTATCCATCGCATTCCTCATTTCTAGCGCTTGATGATGATGGCCATTCATCCTCTTTATCACGCCTTTTGGTGGTGGACTCTCATCCTTGTCTGCGGCTCGTTACCACGTGATTCATTGGCTTCGAGGTTGAGGATGCCATTGGGTGCGGTGGATCTCGGCGGCCCTGATGGCTTATCCAATTCCACAGCGGAGGACGCCTTCTCCTCAGTAGACACGGCTGAGACTGACGACCCTGGCACATTGATCAGGCGCCGCGTCATGCCGCCTGTGCCGCAGGTGGGTGGACGCATATGACTCTCGATGCGTGGATGGATGTGTGTGTGCGTGTGTACCAGCCAATCGGACATATCATCCAGAAACACACGGTCGTCAGACAGATGCACAGCGTCCCTGTGGTGCAGCAGCAGCACGTGATCGTCCACGAGACTCACAGGCTTGGCCAGGGACCAGGTGCGGTGCAGAAGAAGACAGAAGAGCACGAGCCCGTCCAGTCGGACCTTTCAGCTGAGAACACGGCAAAAGAAAGCGCCGAAGAGACAGCAGAGGTAAGTGATTCGGAAAGTGCGGAAGAGACAGCAGAGGAAAGTGGTTCGGAAGGTGCTGAAGAGAAGACCGAGACAGAGGAAAGTGGTTCGGAAAGTGCTGAAGAGACATCAGAGGAAAGTGGTGAGGAGACGACAGATGAGGAGACAGAGGAGACTCAGAATGCAGACGAAACGACAGAGCAGAGTGAAGACGAGACGACAGAACAGAGTGCCGAGGAGGCGGAGGAGCCACTGAGTACACCATACCCCCGTCCGGTACCACTATTGCAGCCATTTCCTGCTCCTGTCATCGTTCACAAGGACAAACCACCCCTTGCACGTAAGTATTCCGTCGCAGGGCACAGCTCACGAAAGGTCTCTTGTGTGTGTGTGTGTGTGTGTGTGTGTATGGAATGGACAGATTTGCAGCATTGTGAGGTATTGACGATTAAGAAGATGATCCAGGAATGGTTTGACCAAAGGGCGAATGATAAGGCCAAGAGGAGGCTCGACCGAGAGGTGCAGTGGTGCATGATGGCCAGAAAAGAACATATCTTTACATCTGCGTGCCCATTCTGATACAGACACTGATCGGCTGGCTCAACAAGACGACGGATCTTTTCCGTGCGCATCCGCCGACGCAGCCGCAGCCCAAGCTGACACCTGCACTCTTCCCCAAGGACCTCGTAGGATAGAGAACACAGAGTGTGTCTCGTTGATGTGCAACTCGGTTTTGTTTGTCTGTCTGTCTCTCTTCAGGTCATGACACTTTTTGATTATCGCACCCAGCTCGATATTCTCGTCAGAGGTGGGCACACGTGCATTTGAATGGCGGCCCAATGAGCAGCTGGCATGTGTCTTCATCACTATAGGTCGGCCGATGTACGAGCCCACGATGGGAGTCCGTAAGCTTCCCATTAAGCACCAAGAGATGAAAGTCGAAGGGATGCCGATCCATTGGAGAGGTCGGCACACACGGCCAACACACTGACGTAACAGCAACCGAATTGTGTTTTGTCCGCTGCAGAAGTGAAGAGGCCAGTCGCTGAGGCGCTCCGCGCGCGTGGCGTCAAGTGGTTCGACCAGCATTGGCCAAAGAGGATTACCAAAGATGTGTTGATATTCTTGATGAACCACCCGGTCCCAATCGCTCACGTGACTGAGGATGAAATACCAGCGACGTTGATATGAGGTGCCGACAGGCAATCCACCACTCGGCGCGAGCAAATAGATGGACTGTGTCCTGACATTTAGGGCCTCGATCGAGACGACTTTGAGCAGTTCTGTACTGCTCTTCTGCATCAGGGTCCGCAGAATACGCACACGGAAATGAGGTGCGTACTCCTGCTTCATGACATTTTACAGAGATAGAAAGTCGCAAGAGAAGAATCGTGGAGCATCCCCCGGGCGGAATGAAAGACGGAGACGTCATCCGTCCGCCGATCATCGTCCACCGATTGTCATTCATCCATCGATTGGCGAACGAGACAGACGACCAAGGTAAGCGATGCTTCTGGCTTTGACTGACTGTTTTGACTGTCCGTCTGTCTATTACAGGCAACATAACGGACCTTTTCTATGGCCAAAACGGGTCTGACGGGGAAGCATCGTCGGGACAAGAGAAGGACCCTCAATCATCCCCAAATGTCAAGCCACCGTCTCCCAGCTACACACCGTCAGCATTCGTCTCTGTCAGAGAAGGGTCAACCATCAAGGCGACCACCTCTTCCCTCATGCAGGGTAAGTAAGTGTCTTTTGATCGGCCCCTTTCATGCCAGCCAGTATTTCCCCCTCTTTCTTTTTAGCGATTCGCAATTCTTCGGCTGCTGCCAAACCCGACAAGGAGGTAGGCAGTCAACGGAGAAAAGCGCGTAATTGCTGGGCTACATTTGTCATCTGCCTGTGTCTTCTCAGGCGCTGGCGTCATCCCTCAGTGTGATACTGAATGCGGTCAAGACACATCTTAAGGAAGCAATACCATATATCGTAAGCGGCAGCTAATTCAATAGGGCCTCTCCTGAATGCACGTTGACACGTGTTACGCACGCAGAATTCTGACGAGTCGTCAGTGGCATCCAGCGCACGTCTTTCCGACGAGGGCAGAGCAACTCTAAGCGTCATTAAAGGCTTGAAACGGTAAGGTATCATATGTCAGGGAGGGCTCATGTGTGAGGTCATGCCCTTTGTCACAGATGGGCTGAGTCTCCCTCCGCTTCGGCTCGGGCGCAGCCGACGACTTCTAGAGCATCAGGTATGAGTGCCGAGTTCTAGAGACATCAGGCATCGCTCGGCCATAAAGGACACAAGGGGAGCTTCCTGTCACTGGATGAGAGGAAGCCGTTTCGATTCGATGAGCCATGAGTGATGTGTGGGATGACGAGTGAGTTTCTGTGGCGAAATTAAAGACAAAGTTGGTAATTTTAAGGTTGCAACGGCCAAGCAGCGGTGACTGTAGTGCATGCGAACGAACGAGAACGGATTCATTCAGCTGTATATATATATATGTGTGTTCCATAGTATACACGCACAGGCAGGTCTGTTTGTCTGTCTGTCTGTCTGTCTGTCTGCACACACGCGTCCACGGATGAGTCCATTCCATTCGGCCGGACGCACCACATGCAGCCAACTTGCACACAGACCATCCCACTGACAGCCACCTAATCAGCCGCCCAGTCAAGCGGGTCATCCTTCGAGCCGAGCGACACGACCATCCTGCATGACAGAGACCAAGACACAGGCGTCTTGTGGATACACATCAGATGCATGTCTGCATCAGATATGTGGCTCTCACAGATATGTGGCTTTCACCTTCACGGTCATGGCGCCTGCCCATCAAGCACGATGGCTGCTATCGGCCCGAGCACGCGACGCACCTTGGCCACCGTCAGGGGGAACCGATGGGCGAAGTGCGCATTCTGAGGGACACCTGCTGCTGGCGCTTCGGTGGTGCGAATGGTGACGTTAACTGCAGGCAGACAAGAGAGGAGCAGTGATCCGACGACACGGCAGCATGAGGATGTGTTGTCAATGTGCGTACGTACCATCCTGGTTGTCGCCTAGGAGGATGCCAAAGTTAATGTATGCGATGAACGGGTCGAGAGCCGTCGTCAGCACATGCAGCTGCACACACATCCCATCGGCCAGCTCAAATGCCAGCACGTCCGAGCATCCGTCGAGGGGCGTGTGTGGCGATCGAGTCATGATGCGGTCCAGATGGCCACCATGCACACGCCTGACATACACATCAATAACGCACCACATGGCCATTCGGCCTCCCATTGCGTGCCTTCCATCGACTTACCGGACCACCACCACTGTTGGCGAGTCGGTGAAGCCGCCCACAGTCAACAGCCGGTAAGCCACTATCACCTCCTTCAACATGGAACTCGCCGATGAATTAACGCCCCTGTCGTTGACGCCACATGTCCCCCAGCCCACACCATGCTGTCACATAATGCCGTGGCGGACGGGCGGGTTGTGTGGCTTGGCGTGGTGGGCGAAGGGGTGCTGCGAGAAGGGATGGACGGGGCGGACGAGCATCCGTCGAGGGGCGTGTGTGGCGATCGAGTCATGATGCGGTCCAGATGGCCACCATGCACACGCCTGACATACACATCAATAACGCACCACATGGCCATTCGGCCTCCCATTGCGTGCCTTCCATCGACTTACCGGACCACCACCACTGTTGGCGAGTCGGTGAAGCCGCCCACAGTCAACAGCCGGTGAGCCAGTATCACCTCCTTCAACATGGAACTCGCCGATGAATTAACGCCCCTGTCGTTGATGCCACATGTCCCCCAGCCCACACCATGCTGCCACATAATGCCGTGGCGGACGGGCGGGTCGTGTGGCTTGGCGTGGTGGGCGAAGGGGTGCTGCGAGAAGGGATGGACGGGGCGGAGGGGGAGGGGGAGGGGCGGGTTGATGGTGATGGTGAAGCCGGGCTGGTTTCGGATGATCCGGAGCTCGTTGTTGTTGTGACGGAACAGCTGGAGTATGCCGTCTTGCTGGCCGGTAGGGCGGTGGAGGGCGACATAGCGGCCGACGAGCATCCATTGCGTACAGAAACGGGGCAGCGACAAGAAATCCTGCATCCAAACACACATCCAGCAGCTCGCCCATTGCCTCTTCTGTTATGTCGTGTTTACCGCCTTGGTGGCGTGTGTCTGCAGGTCTCCAGCACCCACAGTGACCGGCAGCTGGCAATTGCCGCAGTGCTCCGAGAGTCTCAGCGTGTCGCCCACCTCCCGCCAGCCGCCCTCGCCCCCCTCCTCCACCACCCACATGGCCTTCATCACATCGCCGTGGCTCAGCTGATCGTCGAACTCCACCACACCGACCAGCCCCGCCCGCTCGATGGCCTTCGGCAGCCGAAAGCGGCGGACGATGGGCCGGAGGGCATTTTCGATGGGTCGGGTAGTCGACTTGAGGTGGGCGATAGTGGTGAGGTCAGACAGTGCCAGGATGATGCTCATGGGGTTGGCGGGAATGTCGGAGATGTGCAACCGGCGCGCCTGATTGCACACAGAAAGAAGGACATGCACACAGCACATAAGAGGTGGACACCACATCAGTGTGGGTCTTGTGTTTGTGCGTGCCTGTGGTCACTCACTCACTCACTCACTCACTCACTCACCTGTGTGCGACGATGTCTTGTGAGTGCGATGGTCGAGTTGATGGTCTCTGCCAACTCGGCCAGCAGCTCGGACACAGCAGCAAATTGACGACTCACCTTGGCCACCATCTGACGAATGAATCAACACGACGAGAGCAACGCCAAGCAAAGTGGACTCCACAGACACACAGAGGCATTTGTGGTGTGTTTGGCAGCCTGCCGCACCAGTAGTGCCATCGAAGCAGCGGTGTCCATCTGCAGAAGTTGGTCGATGCAGCTATTGACCTGCACACGCACACCACACACACACACATAAGACAGCCGGTGAGCTTTGGATGCACTGCATTGAATGGACGAGTTGGTATGTGTGTTGTTTGGCTGATACCTGAGCCTGCTTCATCCGATAGCCTTCTACCTGAGGCAGCAGCTGTGCCCGTATCACCGCGCTCATCTGCACCAAACCGAATGACAAACCACACACAGACAGCACAAATTGTCACACCGTGATATACGTGCTTTGCCTGGCCCGTAGCTCCCTCTTCTCTCACCTGGGCGGCGGCAATGGCAGCCATCGTGCACCCAAGTCGCGAAAGCTATGAATCGGAGCGCCGTTTTGTGGCTTCAACGTGCTCTCCACGCCTCTGTCGTCGCCATGCTACATTCTCTTCGCTCCTTTCCTCTCTTGATTGCTACATCATGCGAGCTCAAAAATCAGAAAGAGGCGCGCACCAGTCAACCAAGGGTCCTGCTCCATATCTACCGTGACGCCAACACGCAGCCATCCATGTTGATGCGGACAGGGCTGCTCGCCAATCGCATGCCATTGGTGGAAGATTCCGTGGCCTCGCATCCTCCATTCATGCGCGGTAGAGAAACGCACCCCGCACGATACATGCGTCTTCTCCATGGGTAATGTCGACGAATGCAGGTCAGAGCGGTCGTTATGGTGGTGGTCAGGCTGCCCCTGTAGCCCCGCCTTCATCTACACGGAGGCTGACCAAGGTATGGTATACAAAACCACGCGCATACGCCACATTGTTGTACCACTTCGCTCCGCGGTGTTCGCCTTCTCAGCGTGATCATGACGTTTCGCGCCAGGCTTCTTCGGCCGACTCACCCCCCCAACCGATCTCCCTCCCCCGCGCCCAGTCCGTCGAGCCCGTGCCGCGCTCGCACACCGTCGTTGTGCCATCGCACAAACACGCTAGCCCCTTCGAGCAGATCCAGATGCCCGACCAAATGCCCTTCACGGCGTCCAACAAGACACCCATCGGGCCCGGGCTGGCGCCGCCTCGACGTGTGCGCAAGACGGCGAGCGACCACGGAGGGAGTACTCACAAGTTCATGATGGCCCACACGATGCCGCCACTCACCACCAAACAGCAGCAGCAGGCCAGGTCGCGTCCCCTTCTGCCGTCGATATTCGCGTCGAGCCGCTCCCCGCCCCCCGACATTGACGCGTCTTTCCTCTCCCCCCTGCCGCCCAAGACCGTCCCGTCGTCCACGCGAAACCTGCTGGACATCGGCACGAGAAGCGTGGCGCGGCACGCCCACTCCGACACTGTCGGAGAGATGGGTAGGGGGGCCAAGGGCGGCGCTTCGGCTGTGTTGCCGCCGCTGCCCGAGAGGCCGTGGACCGTGACGCGGGGCCTTGAGGGTGGTGCGGGTGGTCGGGGGGAGTGGACGGCAGGCAATGAAGACGATAGCGCTCTGACGGCCGAGGTTGGGGGGGATGATGGGGCGGACGAGTCGCATGAGGATAGTAGTGGCGATGGGGGATCTCTTAAAGTATTCCTACACGATATTCAGGTATGCAACAAGACCCAACAGACGCCCTGTTCGTATGTGTGTGTGTTGGCATTGCAGGGGCAGTTGCATCATGCCTGTGGGGTGATGGAGGAGGACCTGACCGAGATGCGGGAGGGGATCCAGCGGCGTCCATCCGCCAGCAACATCAACGCGCCCCACGCGGTGCCCGACGAGCGACCCATGACACACACCGCCGCCCGCATGGCCAAACGCAGGACTCTCCATGCCAGTAGTGATGCGGTTTCCCTGTCGACGTCTATGAGCACGGCCCCCTCTCGACATCTGAAGCGGACGTCCACTGGTGTGTCGGGGCGGCCAGTCCCGCCGGTTCCCACTGAGCAGCCTCCCAACCGCCCCGTGTGGCCCAACAGATGGGGAGAAGGCAAGAAGGCCGTCATGCATAAGGTGGGTGGGCGGGGAGGGTGCTGTGCGTGTTGCATCGTGTGTTTGTGTCAGGGTATACGTGACAAGATGGATGAGTTGATGCGGCTGGTGGAAGCGAGCCGGGAACAGCACAAGGTAAGCAACTTACAGACAGACAGACAGACAGACAGGGAGGGAGGGAGGGAGGGAGGGAGTGTCCCTACACAAAGACATGGCTGTCTGTGTGTGTCTTCTGTCCAGAAGAACCAGTCGAGTGCATACCAGGAGGCCAGGGCCGAGGTTCACCAGCTGCAGCGCAAGATAAGAGAATTCAGGAAGCTTCTCCATCAGCGGGAGGTACACGGACAAGAGGTGATCCCCATGAATGCATTCCCCATCACACATACGTGTCATTCAGAGTGACTTGCAGTCCCTACGCGATGAGAAGGACAGGAACGAGTCGCGGTTCAAGGCACGCACACGCCAAGACAGACTCAAGGCCACATCGTCTGTTGAGAACGCGTTGTGTGCGCATGTGTGTGCAGACGACGTTGAAGGCCGAGCAGGTCCGCAACCGAGAGATCACTGATCGATGCCAAGCGAAAGATGTACGCTAACAGACACGGAGAGGCGCCTCGACCGAGGCATTGCATTCGTTCCTTGTCTGTCTGTCTGTCAGCGTCAGATGCGCCGACAAGCAGAGGTGAATGCAGACATAGCGTGATCCCCCTTCTCGGTACTGTTGTCTCATCGTTGTTGATCAGGAGCTCAACACGCTTCGCCAGAAGCTGGCAGACCCCCAGGACAAGACCCACCAATACACACAGGAACAATACAATGAGCTTCAGGTAGGTGATCAAAGGAAATCAACACAGACAGTGCCCAAAAGCATCTGTATCGGTGGAGTTGGTGTTTGTGTCAGGCCCGCTTGCATGAGGCAGAGAAGGCGGCCAGTGCGGCCAGCGACCGATCGGAGCGGCTGGAACAGCAATGCGCAGCGCTGCAAAAGAAGAACGACGTGAGCACATCCTGCCTGCCCACACATGTGACCAGCCTAACGTGATGCACCCACCATTCACACACGTGTCTTCAGGAGCTGTGTGCTGCGTCCGGGGGCTCAGAGAGCGCCTTCTCTGCCTACCGCGAGCGCGTCCGCGAGGCTGCCGTGCGTGAGATCGAGGGCCGCTGTGCTGAGGTGCGGTGTGTGCTGGAGCAAGAGCACAGCCGGCAGCTGCAGGAGGCTCGGGAGGAGCTTCGCTTCGCCAAGGATATCATCGCACAGGACATGGTGCAGCAGCGGGACGACTTCCAGGTGATTGACCGACAGCAGACAGAGAGAAATCCCAGCTTGTGGCCCATCTGGTCTCGTGTGTGTGTGTGCGTGTGTGTGTGTGTGTGTGTGGTCAGAGTGTGCTCGAGACGAAGGTCAAGGCGCACGAGGCCACCCAGACTGAGCTTGATGCCCTTCGCGAGCTGATGCTGAGGCACCGATCATCCATGGACACCCTCCAGCACACATTCCTGCCGCAGCTGCAGCAGTACATGGACGTCGTCCGCCACTGCAGCGGCACACTCGCTGACCTGGGCCCGCACGCATCCACGCCTCGCGGCCAGCGCGACATAGCGCATCTGTTCGGCGCTGCAGACAAGAGTGGCGTGGACTTGAAGGCGGTCAGCGAGGCCCTGGGGGCCGATGCGCGGCGGCTGACCACCCTCGTGGCAGGTGTGCAGGACAAGCAGACCAAGCTCGGCGAGAAGCGGGCCAGACAGATCGAGGAACTCGAGTACAACTTGGCAGTCGCGCAGCAGACCATCCATGAAATAGAGACAGACCATCAGAGGACCGTGCAGGCCATTCTCGAAGAAGCAGAGGGCAATGGCGATGGGGAAGTGGACGAGGAAATCGCCGGTGTGATGGCTGAAAGGTGTGATGGGAGGGAAGGCACAGCACACAAAGGTGGTGTTGTACATCATTCTGCTCTCTGTTGTTGTTGTTGTTGTGTTGTGCGTGAAGAGTTGCTGAGGGTTCGGTGGGTTCGGTGGATGAGGAAGTAGTGATGATGCAGCAGGATGATGGTGACCTTCCAAACCGTCACGACGATACTGAGGTAAACATTCAGAGAGAAGGGACGGCGTCCAAATCATGTCTTCGATTCTTGTCCACTTGTCTGCGTGTGCGGTCAGTTTGTGGTTGGAGAGCAATCGACAGCGGAGGACAGTGTGGATGAGTGAATACAATGCATTCCTGCGTGTGTATAATTGCCTGCGGAGACGCGTGCCTGACCCTATGTGTCGATCCACGACTGACTGCGAGGCGCTTCAAAGTCAAAGTCGAATTGCACATGAGTGAGTGGTATGGCGGCACATCCACGTCTCATTGCCCAAAGCCTCACCGCGCCCCACGCACACTCTTACACACACATGGCACATGGTATAAACCAAGCCATCCATCCATCCATCAAAGAAACCACATCGGCACAGAGAGAGGCCTCAAACCAAAGCAGTGAGACTACTCCGTCGGTAAGTCCGAGGATTGCTCGCTGAACCAAAAAGTCGACGGTAAATGGGACAGAGAGAGGGAGACGGCGCTGCTTAGTCATTCACTTGTCAGACTGTAGCATCGCTGGTTTTGCTACCTTCCTCATTCTGCGCCAAGCAAGACACACACACAGACAGGGGCAGAAGCGTGCAGTGTCCTCTCTCTTTCCTCATCGTTCTTCACCTCCAGATCGATGTTGAAGAGCTCAAAGAGTTTTTGTTGCTGCGACAAAGGAGGGATCGACACACATAGTTCACACGCCATTACACCAAACATCCATCGGCGCTCACCTGTATGTCATCTTCTGGCAATACTCGTAGGATGGCCACCTGCCCCACACGACAAGGCAAGCCATCCTTCCTTCCTCCCTCCCTCCCTTGATGCTTGTGTCTCTTCGTGGGTACCGTGTCGACAACGTCCTTTTTAAACCACTCGAACAGCAGGTAGTGCAGAAACATGACGGCCAAAATGAGAACAGCCCAGTCCACTGCTCCTAGAATCCACAGCTTCGTCTCGTGATCCTTCAGGTCGCTGTCGGCCTCCTGCATTCAAGCCCGACCATCAGCCAAGCACAGACGTGACATGAACAGCGCTCTCCACTTTTACCTCAATGAATAGCTCTTCCATCGTCTCGACTGCAAGACACAGAAAGGAGAAGGCAAGAGAGAACGCCGTGAGTGAGGGTACTGTCTGTCTGTCTGTCTGTCAATCAGAGGATGGGCATGCGAGGAGCTCACAGGCATTGCCCAGGTCATAGCGCAATGCGTTATACAGCCACCTGCTCAGCACATCAAGCGATCGGACGTCAGTAAGGGATTCCGCCCTCCTGCCTTGCTTCCTTCCTGTCTGTGTCTACGCGTACCAGTAGTCAGGTGGGAGCCAGGGCCTGACTAGCCTCTCCGGCCCCACCGGCGGCGGAGGGGGGGGCGCAGGGGTTGTTCCATTCGTCCCGTTTGCCTGCAGCTCACGCCCGAACGGCTCATCCTCGTCTGGGGAACTGCCCTCGGTGCTGCTGCGATTCCTGCTGGAGCGTAGCTCGTCCATGAGACGATTCATCCGCTTCAGGGCGGCCTCCATGCGTTTGTGCGCATCTGTCGCCGTAGCCGGGACGTCGCCGGGGTCATCTGAGAGTTGGCGTCTCCAGTATGGGCTGACGTCATTGTAGAAGGGGACCATATAGTAGGCTGGCGGGGTGCCGATACCAAACACCTTCAACAATACAACCACATAGGCCAAAACACATTGAAGGCGCTCTCCGGCCAAAGTGTGCCCACCCAGTTCGTGAAGAAGCGCTCGGCCTCCTCGAACCTGACAAAATGCGCATTCGTCATGTCATGGCAGGCGGCAGCGTGCATCGACAACCGCCATGCCGTGGGTGTAATACCAGGCAACGAGCGACGGATAGAACCCATTCAACATCTTTTCGGAGAAGGGATAAGGGTTTGTTTTGTTCTCGCAGGTGCCCTCCTGCACCCACACAGGGACAACAACAAATGGAAAGGACAGAACAGTCACATCAGCCTGGCAAGTGCGAGGCAGCACTGACAGGTGGACGAAGGAGACAGCCGGGGTAGTAGAGCAGCCTGCACGCAGCAGCCAACCAAACAGTCATAAAGGCTGTGAAGGTATATATGTGTGTGTACATTCACACTTTTTTCGGTCCTCAAATCTGCGGTCAACAGGCTTGGCGTTGGCGCTGCTCTTCTGATACAAAAGGTTCATCAACTCTTCGGCGCCCAGCCCCAGCTGCCTCTGCATTGATGCAGACATCCATCAACCAGACACACACGTAGAGGGGAGGAAAGGTGGAGGTGAGGAAGGCAGTGACTGCAAGGGCGTTGTCTCACCCACCCCGAAGTATTCAGGGAAGGTAGGGGATGCATCCGATAGCGTCTCTCGCCAGGGCCAGCTGTCAACAGAATCAGGCAAAGTGTTTTCACACGCAGAGGGTTGTGTTGGGCTTACAGGGTAGGTTCGACCAGGTGTATGGTGGCGATTTGCCCATGTCGGAAGCGATACTCCCCGACGGCCGCCTGCACCACCTCATCGGTCAAGTTGTCCACCCTTTCCATCATGTAAGCCTAAAGGACGACCAGCGACACACAGCATAGCACCTGCAGGCTGCCTGAAACACCTGTACGTACACGTGCAGCCAATTGCTGACATTACCATGAAGGTGTATGTGAAGATGGAGTATGCGAGGATGGCTCCCCAGAAGATGAGCATCAGTTTCGACAGGCGTCCGAAAAGGGTCGTCGTGACCCACTTGCAAATGTTTGGAGGCTCCTGGAGGCACTTGTACTTTCGCTTGCACCGCAGCCACCTCTGATGGAGCGTGAGGTTGCCGCTGCCCTTGGCTTTCTTCCCACCGGTGCTCATGGGGGACAAATCGCTCGACGAGGAGCCGCGCCTCCCTTTTCTTGCCGAACTGCACACACATACACAGACACACACACGGAGACGGAAAGGAGATGGTGAAAGTGTGGTCTTCCGTGTGCAGCAGGATCGTGCGTGGGGTTGCTTACGTTGATTCTACCCCCTCGCCCTTTGCTTGTGAATCTCCCCTTTTTGGCTTTCGCGGCTCCATTGTGCCATTGGGAGCAGAGCCCCGCTGCTCATGGGCATTCCCTGGCTTGCTGGGGGAAGAGTCATTGTTGAAGATGTCAAGAAACATTTCGGGAAGCTTGGTCTGGTTTGTCTCATCCCCGTTGTGCTGCTGCGTAGCCGAAAGACTGCAAGGAGACAACCAACATCAACAACATCCCCGTGTGTAGATTTATCGCACTGCAAAAACACATGTGCAACAAATGCTTACTCGGGCTCTTTGCCGTGGTCCGCGGCATCGGGTGGGTTGACTCTGATCGTGACTTGACCGGATCCACGCGCAAGCCGATCCCTCGATCCGTCCTGGTAGGGCGTGCGCACCATACTGGTATTATTGATGGGCGGAGGGCTTTCAGACACGTCCTGCATCAACAAGAAGGAGCACCAGTCAGAGTACCTGTCTGTTCTGAGCGTCTGACCAGCCAGCTCACCGCAGTGTAATCAGTCCTTGCTGTCACTGGCTCATGTACTGGTATGAACGGGGGCACCAGGGGCAGAGACACGTTGGGAGAATGTGTCTCCGAACCCATGCCCGCCCGCGCCGCACTTCTGCTTTGGATGTCGTCGTCCAAATCGTCCACCAGGCTCTCACCTCCTGTCGCCTTACCGGTGGCCGCGTCGAATTCCCTGGCAGCCAGGTCGCTCAACTTCTTCCGCGTGGCCGTCCCGCGGGGCACCATCATGTTCCCCTGGCCGTCCTCCATTGAGCCGGAGTGGCGGAGCTGCTGGAGAAACCTTTGAACCTTCTCGCTGGCGCCTTGCCGAGAGCCTGGACTGTGCGGGGAGCCGTCCTCGCTCGACATCATCTGCTTAGTGCCTCCACTTCCACCTCCACCTCTCTCACTGAGTACCTTGCCTGACACGTGAATAAGAGCATACACGGATTGGTAAAGGAATGTGAAAGACAGTACAGGCTGCATACCTTCGACGTCGGCGAGGTTTATTTCGGACAGAGGCACAATCACCCTGTCGGCGCCCGTTGGAGGTGACCGATCCGCCTATCATAATAGGGGAACAAGTGTATGGACGAGTCCGCTCCCGCTCAGCTGACCTTCTTCTTAGCTGCCCTTTCCCCGTCTAGCATCAAGCGCACCATATCAGCGTCTGAATTCACCCCCTTTCGCAGCTCACGCTTCGACGTTTCGGGACTCATAAGTCGCACACGCGGTTGACCCCCACGGAGGGAGCTGTTGCTGTCAGCTCGCACCAGACCGTGTGTGGGTGTGGACGGCTTCAGAACGGACTTGGATGGCGCGGCCTGCTGTTGGCTGCGACTGGCAGACATAGGAGTCTCATACGGCTCCCCGTCCATCAGAGCTTTCGGTTGTTCCCCGTCCCTGAAACAGACGCATAGACGTTGCACAAAGGACAGCGAAACTCATGTGAAAGGCTCAGCCGCTCCTGGGTAGGTCATCTTGGTCGCCGAAGGCGCCTTCGAAATCACCCAATGCGATTCCTTTCCTTGCTTCTTTGGCGAAGCGTTTTCGGAGCCGGATTTTCTGTCAGATCGAGGCACATTTAAGGCAGACACCGCAGGAATATGCCGTGGTGAGCGGTGCTAAGCCCCGTCGGTTACTGACCTGTCGCTGCGAGAGTGAGAAGGCAATGTGAATAGCCAGCCCAACGTCGGATTGCAGATCAAACTCGGACTACATACACGCCCACAATGCGCAGAGACGATGTGCGTGCAGATGTCATCTATTCAGAACGTCGCTGACCATCCCGATCTGAACCATCCACAGCACGACAACCGCGATGAAGACGTTGAGACAAAGCGTGGTAAGAATGCAGGCGAGAATCACTCCCTCGCTGTGATTCACAACTGCACGGAGAAGGCGGAATCGGACGATTCACCCAAGCAGTTGATTCCGTTCTGTGGTTACTGACTCTTGTTTATGTGGTCAAGCTCCATCCATCGTCTGACCACCAATTCCCGGCGCACCGAGACAGTTCTGAAGAGAAATCGATGAGTGGATACATGAACAAATACGCTTCTCTGACCAGCTCTAGCTGGCCAGCTCCTATGTTACTTGCAAGATGTACTTGAAATGACGCGATTCCTCTGCGGCCTTCTCTACAAGTACTCTTTTACACCGCCACGAGAAACTCAGTAACTACCTCTGCATCACAAGGACAGCACGGCAAAGCAATTGACTCAGCAAGCATGGGCCATTGTTCACAGAGCAGCTTACCGACGTAGTTGGTCTCCTGATCGTGCACGTGAGGTTGAGACACGATATAAGAGACACAACACAACACGGCAGCCACAGATAGACAGCAATACATGAGTGTGCCAAATCACATTCTAACTCTGTCATATGGCAATCCGAAGTCTGAAATCAAGACAAAGGCGGTAGGAATGTGTACTGTCGGCGAAAAATCTCCATGCTATGCGTACCGTTAAAGAAGCTCAGTTTGAGCTCAGGATTGTAGTCTCGGTAGTAATTTTCCACGTCTCGCATCCCTTCCTGCACAGGTCAGAGGTACGTACAGGACGCTAACTCTTCCGTCATCGTGTGAGCCAGACCTCGACGGCTTTGTCGATGATAAAATTGGAGGCTTCAGTCAGCTCTTTAGTGTATCTCTCGATGTCGGCCAGCTCTCGATCGATTCGCATTCGGATTTCTTCTTCGGAGATGTTCAGCGGTCGGCTCAGGTCCGTTGGGCTCAGGTTCGCTGTCGAAACTGATTGATGGACTTGGGCGCTGGGGTTGATCTCTCTCAGGTGCCGCCACCACGTGTAGACCAGCGTCGTTGAACTGCATACCTTTGCCCTGCGGCCATGACAGTTCCACGGCGAGCACAGTAATGTGTAATCATCGTCACATACACGAGAAGAAGGATAAAAAGCATACAAAGAGGCGTACCAGTTGTTGATAATGATGCTGTTGTACTGCAGGTCATGCAGACGCCCAGTAGTCGTCTCCAGCTCGTTAATCTGATAATCGTTTTGTGTTGCTATGACGGGCGGGAAGATACGAAATGTGTGCCCAGTCTTACTTGGACGAAGTGTGTGACGATGCCCATGATGATCATCAGAACTAGGCCTGCACAGGAAAGCAATAGAAGCGAGGCTACCGATTTATTTGCCAATATTGTGCGTGTCTTTGACCTATGATCGCGAGCAGCGCCACCCACATGAGTCGCTTTCTCTTGTTGGTCTCGATTATCGCGATGTTGTTTTCTTTCTCACTGCCTGCATCAGCAGCAAGCAAGACAAATCCCACGGAATGTATATCAGGCTGGTTGCACATGCGCGTAAGCCGTCCTCCTCCTCACCTCCCCCTTTAATCTCAAAACCAGCGGCATCAGGCTCAGGTGACTCGATCGACGAGGGAGGATTCTGGCCTGCAAGCATTCACGGACAGACAGAGAGGATGACAGCCTCAGTGTGCTCTACTGAATTCGTTCGCTTTGCTCACTGTGGGCAACGGATCCGACGTCGTCAGTTTCCGTCTGGTTCATCATTTGCTCGGCTCTGTGTGGCAATGCTGGTGTCTCTCTGTCACATCTGATAATGCTGTTTCCCGGAGTGAGTCGCTGACCTGCTGTCATCGTTGTACAGCTGCAATAGCAGAAGAATCACAAACGATGAAATCAGCATAGTGTTGCGCCTTTGTCATCGCACCTGCCGCACAAAATTCGCGAACAACTCCAGTGCCTAGTCACACAAACAATCGGCCTTCCATGAGTGGCTCATCTTCTCTGTCCATCCCTACGTCTTTGCTGCGTGGAAAACGCTTCAAGAGGTTGACGTAGCTGTGATGGGCATTTGAGACCGCTTCAAGTGCTTCTCTCAACATCATCGCTCCGACAAAGACAGACAGAGACAGGGACAGGCAGGCGGGCAGGCAGGTAGGCCAGGGGATCGATCATTTACAGGCTCGTGTCTCACCTAGCCTTGGAGGGCTTGGCGGTAGCCGTCTTGCCTTCAGCAGCCAGGGCGCGCCTGAACAAGCAAACCATCATGTACGGTCAGTTTTGTAGTATTCATGTGTGACAGGCGCAGGGTGGTCATGGTTCACCAGAATCGACTCATCTTCTTGAGGGCCTGCATGTGATTCAGTTTCGCGGCCCTGGACCATTTCTGGTACGTCATAATGTCGATTAGGTTGGTCTTCTTGCCCCCGGCGCCGAGGAACTCCATTTGCCGTGCTGTCTCGATGTCCTTCTGCAGTCTGATGTTCATGGATGAAAGCAATAGTGTGCGTAACGGCCTAGCCCATCCTCCCGCAGCCACTGGCTTACTGATAGAGAATGTAGTTGATGTCGAGGTGCCACTTGGATGTCTGCGAATGCGAAAGCTTGATGTACTTGTAGCACAGGAAGGTCTCGTCGCTGAGGCACCAAAAGGACAAGAGACATCCGTACGGATGAACATCCATGTGCCGTGGCAGGCAGCGTACAAGAAATAGCGGTTGACGAGCGCCAGCCACATGTATGTGTAGCCACTGAAATTGTTAGAGAACAGCTCGTTTGTGAACTGCGGAAGGAGGATCACGCTGTAGCTGACCTGAAATTGGTGGACTGCAGAATTGCCAGGATGGTCTCCGTCATGACCGCACGGGCCATTGGCTTCTCCTTGGAGGAGTAGAGGAACCACTCGTCCCTGAAGATGCGCAGAACCAACTCCAGATCGGTCTCCCATATCACGCTCGATCGCAACCGGGTCAACCTGACCATACCATATCCGGCACATCCATCAAAAGGGCGGGACTGCGTGTTTGCACCCCTCCTGTCTATGTCTGCGGCACCTGTATGAGCTCATTCTCTCGCTGACGATCTCCATTGCGGTTTTCGGTTGTTCGTTCTCGCCTGCCGCCACTCCCAGCACCCGCCTGTTGCCAACGGTTCTGCTGATGACGGACGGCGTCCGGGCTCGGGAGGAGTGCCTCGTGATGGCCGATGTGCCCAGGGGGATCAGGTCCGCAGAGCGCGCTGCGGGAGAAGGGACTGGTACGATAGCTCGCCCCCCCTCGGTACCGCCGTCAGCCACACTCTCAGTGCTATCACTTTCTTCATAGTCGTCCCTGCAATCAAGCACCAGCATTCACGAGATGGGACTGTATACAAATGTGTGTCTCTGTCTGCCCACTCACACACCTGCCTCTGAACGATCCTCTGCGGGCACTCGGACCTTCGCCCGTTTCCTCAGCCAGGAGAGCGGACAAACATGTGTTGTACTCCTCGGTGAAGACGGCGGTCAAAGCATGCAGCTCGGCGGCCACCTGCGACCGAAGGACATTCTTGCGGACCAGGGCGAGCCATGCGCCCATCGGCAGCATGAACAGACACACGCCAACCACCAGCAGATCCTGCGTGAGACATCTCCCGCAAAGGGGCGTGAATCAGAGAAAGAGTGTCGCGAGGCTCTACTGGCTCATGCCGCTCACGTTGACGGATCGGATCTCTCTTATCAAAGCAAAGACAGCAATCGTGAGCAGCACCGCCAGGATGGCATCCCGCATCCTATTCGCACTGTCGTGAAAGAATGGGGCTGAAAAGGACAAACGTCGTGAGAAGAGTGTGCGAACGAGGTGCTCGACTACTGACTGACCTTGGGCGAAGAAGAGGACTGTCACGTAGCCCAGCGCTATCAGATTGACGGCAGAACTAGATGCCCAGGTTTGGCGCCGACACTGCCACGATGAACGTCACGTTGACCAGAGTCTTGGTAGCAGTGTACCTACATCCACATGCATAAGAGACACGTCGACTCAGGTTCGTGCAACAAGTGCTGCAGCTGTCTCGCTGACCAGAATTCACTCCGTCCATGGGCTTGGACGGAAAGGTCCGTCGAAAACGGCTTGAAGTTGTTATAAGGCAAAGCTGTAACCAAACCGAGGGGCACCTGAGACACAGGTAGATCAAGGAGATATCATGTGTGTGCGTTGTGCCCACTACCATCTCTTACCAGGAACAGCAATGCAGCAATGGATGGAAATAGCATCACAATGTGAGCCGCCTCCCAGCACTTGAAGTCGCCGTCCGTCAGCCGTAGCTCCATCAGCCGGCAGGAAAACAGTGACATGAGAATAGCAACACTCGATGAGAAAAACGTCGTCACAAAGCTGGCGTTGACAGACAGACAAACACAAAGTGGTTCCCTCCAGTAGCTGTGACGACGGCTCACATTCTGACAAATCCCCTCAGTAAGATAATTGGCGTGATCAGATGCACCTAAACGTCAGACACACGATGCGAGAATGGTCCTTGTCTGTCAGCTTCCTGAGTCAGTGATGGTATGAATGATTTCGGCACCTCCTTGGACTTAAATGTCTGTGCGACAATGGCGACGGTGAGGGCGGTGAGGAGGATGAGAGCCTCGACCACGCCCAGAACGGAGAGATACTGGATCTTGTTTCGACCTGCAAGGCACATCACACAGGCGCAGCTCCCGTGCTCCCATGCATAGGCAGGGCAGGCAGGCGCCCTCCCTTGCTGCCCACCCCCAAAGATCTCGAAGGGCGAGGTAGAGAAGTGAAAGATGCACCTCGCGTCGTATATGTCCCTGACACAGTCCATTTCATGAGAGACCGACAGACCCTGCCTGCCGTTGCGCACCATTTTTCGCACTCGAGGGATTTGTTCAGCGGCAGTAATAGCGGCACCAGCTGGAGAAGGTCAAGCACAAACACAACCGCCAGGTTCACGTATTGCAGAGCCGGCACACGAATTCCTGTCACCGCACACGCACAAACACACACACAGGCAAAGACATATGGGGCTGCTGCATATCGTGCGTTGAGCATCCATGCCTGTTCCGATGATTATTGCCTCCTCAGGCTTCTCATTGGTGGACGAGTCCATCACATAGAGGACACCGTACAGCGCCTCTTGCCTTCACAGAACAGAAGATGCGCACTCCATGCCAGTGACTGGTGTCCCACGGCACACGGCCTACCATGGCGCGAAGGTGAGGAGGCTGCTCTCGACGCCCGACCCGTCGTTCGCCATGGTGGGCCGTCAAGTGCTTGTGGGGCGGCGTGACCGCCAGTGAGGAAAGATGGAAGAGGCCCCCACGAGCCCCCAGGAGACTGCGAGCTGCAGCTGCTTCCTCTTCGACGGGGGAAAGCGGGCACGTGCTCAGGGCCGCAGGGGGCACGTGCTCAGGGAACGGACGCAAAAAAGGGGCAAAAACATCGTTCTTTCCGCCTTCTCCCTTCCCTCCCCTCCCCCGTGTTGCGATCTCCTGCTGCTTTGTGACCATGGAGCCTTTCTTCGGCCCTTTTACGACACAGAATCACTACTTAACGCCTGAGTAGGCGCTGGAATGGTAGATGCCATGCTGCATGGAGGGCTCTGTGTTTCCATCTCTCAGTCTCTACTCGCGCATATACCACAAGGTCGAGCGGACGTTCGCCAACACAGGAACCCTTCGGTCGATTGAACGGCTGGGAGTGAAGACATTCAACTTACCGACACCGCCATTCACGGTATTCGCCACACTGCCAGTGACTGCCAGCCTTTGTGGAGACTTGATTGGAGTTTTTTTCTTTGGCAGGCTGACCGATCAAGAAGGGCGGAGCATTACTTTCGGAAGCTACGGGCAATGCAAAAGACGATTGAGGTATCTGGAGAAAAGAGACCGTTGATATGTGGACGGTATTCTTTGCTGATGGAATTGCCTGCAGCGATTGTTGCTCAAGTTGGTCTGTGTCGAGCCTGGCGTAACGTTGGGCACAACTGGTCGAGGAAGTCAGCAGCTGGAAAACGAGACTCAAGCCATCAACCTCATCTCAGAGTTCGTGAGGTCAGCCATGCTGATTGAATGACCACTGGCGTGCGAGACATCACGTGCAAGCTCCTTGATCCATGCAGCGCGGTAGACAACTTGGAGAGACACCCATCTTGTGAGCTCAAACAGTACATGCGCCAGGTATATACAGCACTGATGGACACATACGTTGATGCCAGATCGGTCCGGCCGTTTTCTCGTTTGCAGTACTACGCCATGAAAAAGGCTGCAAGTGATTTCCTGGTGGACCTCCAAGTGCTCCAACGCGCGAAGAACGAGCACCTCATCCGAACCAAGGCACCCCCGACAATCTACACCACGACCTACGCCGACCCACTGCTGCCGGTTCCGCCAGAGGACGCACCCAGCAGAATGTCGCCACTGTACTCATCCGACGGGGGGCACCCCTGGATGGGCTACAATCGGCCCATGACCGCTGATGTGACAACACGGCTCAGGGAGACAGGGCAACTGGAAGGCATGATGATGACGTCGTCCCGCCCACAGACAGCCACCACAGAGACCAAGGGAGCAAGCGACGTGGCCAAGGCGACGAACGGCCGCCCATCCACCGCTCAGCAGCTGAACAAGTCGGCGGTCCGCAAGAAGACGAAGGTGGCCACGCGGCCCAAGTCGGCGGCGCCCGGCGGCTCTGCACGGCTGCACCTGCCCACGCCGCAAGTATTCGATGAGAATTCCAGGTCCTTTCTCGACACAAGGACTTCGGTGTATCAAGGAGGAAGTGTCCGGGTACCGTGGGAAGCGTACAGACGAAGGAACAAGTGGTCTACCTGTCCTCCATCGCTCAACCGGACAGGTAGACCTTAATCGAACGCTTTTCACCCTTTGCGACATGTCTCTCTATGTTCGTGCCTCTTTGTTTGTGCAGGTTACTGGTACTATGCCCATCACGCCTGAGGAGTGAATGCATGGGCCCGGTGGGTTGGTTGGCGGTTTTGGATGAGGCTGACCTGGGGGTGGGTTTTCCGATTGATTGCATATATGTACATGTATATATACATATATATATATATGTACGTAATGGATATGTCCATAGATGCGTAATGGATACGTCTATAGATACACATATACATATGTATATGTATACCGTCGATCGATCGTATGCATAGCGTACATACATATTGATAGAGAGAGGCGCAGTCACCGCACCGCACGTCGACGCTTAAGGAAGAGGCACACACGGGAGGGAAGGGAGGGGACACTCTCACTTTGGGCTGGCTGTGGGTTAAGGGACAGCAGCATTGACAGACAGAGCCTCTTGGCTGGCTGCATAAATAGTCCACATCTATCTTGGCAAACGAAGGTCAACTCATGCACGCAAGGTCCCTCAGTAGACACGAATGCAGGAAGCCAGGCAGAAGCTACCACACCGCGCTCAGATGTTCTCCGACACCCAGTCGCGATTCCACGACCTGATCAAGACAGAGGCACCCCACCCGAATACCCATTCGCAGCAGCAGCATTTAGTGTGCTGCCTTGGTGTGCTTACGGTGCTGATTCTGATCTATTGAGGACGCTGGCGAGCTGTCTCCTCCACTTCTCGCGGGCCGTGTCGTCGAAGAACAGCACCTTGACCTCAGTCGACCCGAAGGTCAGCTTCATTGACGGATCCTCGGTCGGACCGAATGCCACCTGCACAGACGGACACAATGCATGCTGGTTGGCTTCCATCTATTGTCATCTCTGTGTTGTTGACCTGTTTGAGTGCCTTGATGGACTGCTCTGTGTTGACGGCCACCAGGTTGAATTTCGCTGCCTGGCGCTTGTCCTTGACAGCTTTGCCGCCCACACCCTGAGTCTTCTGAACACACACAGACACACACCATTTAGCAGATACACTTATTCTCAGTCTTTCTCGTGGCGTACCTGCATGGCCTCTACTCTCCTCTGCTGCACCTTGTCGCTGTCGAACGCCCCACCTCCCGACGCAGGAGCGCCACTGTCGTACGCAGCCGCTGCGGGCTGCTCTGCCCTGGTCCCCCTTTGCATGGTATGTCCTCTGAGAATGGACCCCCCGCCCGACTCATACTCGCCCAGGAAGGAACTGTACACGGTGCGCTGCACGCCAAAAGGAAGACGGATGTCGTGTTGTGTTTGCGGCATGTCTTGTGCGCATACACCTGCATGGCCTTCTTGCGACCGAGCTCCTCCCTGCAACAAACGAGACAGACAAGAGGCGATAGGTACAGGGGCCATCTGTCTATCCTTGAAGTTGAGCTTACGTGTGTAAACCGCCCAGCCCCTGCTCGAGCATGAGGTCGAAGTCCGCCTCCTCATCGCCGAGCTCGTCCTCCTCCTCACCCTCACCCATTGCCATACCCATGGCGGCTGGCTCTTGCCCCTCCTCCCTCCTCAGCCGTGCACCGAGGGCGCCCTCATGGCCACCCATCTCGCCCGCATCCTGCAACTCAGACATCTCTGAACACACAGGCAGACAGCGACGGAGGTGATGGGAGGGACGGGGCGGCCTTGTGTTGGTGGTGGCTGTTTACCTGTGGTATCCGCCAGTTCGCCCTCCGGCAGCACCCAGTACTTCCAGGCAATTGACAGCTCGTAGAAATCTGCAGATGATACGTCAGGAAGATGACGTCAGTGGATGGTCTGCACGTGTGCCATTTACGAGTCTCGGTGAGGACGAAGAGCGCCAGGCTGCTGGTGGCGAACCCCTGACCACACAAAGCAGGCGGTGGCTGGCATGCTGACTGTTGCAGCTTGCCTTCACCTGTCGTTGGGCGAAGGTGCAGCAGTGGATCTGCCGGGTCTTGACCTGCACCAGAACATGTGTCTCGCAGAGGGTGTCTCAGTGTGTGGGTATCGGTGTGGACCACCCACCCTGTCGACGACGATATCTCTGAGTGTGGTGTCCATGGCCACCTCCACACGCTCGTCGACTTCCGGGCCGCTCACACGGTAGAGACACCCTATCATCGACTCACGCAGATCCGTCTGCCCGTGCACACATACCCCACACAGGAGATGTCTCGATTGGGGACTGTCGGTGTATCTGTTTTTGCCCTGTAGCAGATGATGACTTCGGTGGTCTCCTGCACCTCAGAGGACAGCAAACCCCTCTTCTCCTGAATACGCCACACACACACACAAGCGGCTGCTTGTTTCCAGTGCATATGTGTGAGCCTGTGGACGTACCTCCGCCCATCCGATGGCGAGCATCTGTGTGCCGAGTCCCCGCACCACGCGGGTCATGTCCCAATAGCTCCGCTTCGACTGCATATGCAGTCAGACACCGACACACACAATCGCAGCAGGGAATGAATGGCCAAGACGGTCTGTCTGGCCTGGGATCACTGACCTCTATCTTGGGCGGTGCTGGGCAGAAACGCTCGGGCGGACAGACGGCACACCGCCTGCAATGACGCGTTGCGGTCAGATCTTTGCGTGTGTGTGCCCGTGTACCTCAGTGGCGCACCTGCCCTTTGGTTTCTGCAGCACGTAGAAGTTCTTGTTTGTCAAGACCACAATCCGCTCGCTGACCTGACCTGTTTGCGCGCAGCGCACAGGTGTATGCGCAATCCGTCGACGCATCCATGAGTGCGTGCCTGTGGTGTCACCAGTTGTGAGCGGTATGAGGTGGCAGAAGCACAGCTGCAGTATCCTCTCGGCAGCGCCGTGTTTCTCTGCTAACATCACCTCCTGATACACACACACACACACACACACAGGAGTGGCCATGCCATTCAGTGTGGGGAAAGACGGCGCGCGCACCGCACCATGGCTGTTTGGTATAGTCCGGTGTTTGCGAGGTCGAGCAACTCCGCCATGTACGACTGACGGACGTATTTCTTGCGGAACACCTGTGCCTGCCAAAGATGCACACAGCCACACACACACATATTGACCGTATGGGGCTTGCTGTCGCTCCTTTAGTCACCGCGCTGAATGCCTCGAGTACATCGTATTTGAGTGCGGGGCATCGCTGGAGCATCACCGCTAAGACAACTGTGCAGCTGTGGCGCATCGCTGACAGTACAAAGACACGCAGACGTACATCAAAGGCAGATGAACTCGTCCGTGTCCGTGTACCCTCTCTCTGTGCTGCCTGGCCGGGCGGCGAGACGATGTGCGAGATGTAGGTGCCGCTGATCAACAAATCATGGACACGACACCCACACCTACTTACCCGGGGGCTGCGGGCGGCTGATGTCCTTACTGTGCAGATCCGGCGTCGATCTGGAGGTCGTAGATGATCATGGCCACCAGCGCCCGGACTACAGAGGGCGGCACCAAACGGACCAACGTCTTCTCCACACAGAAATTCTGAACACAAAGCAAGATTGCAGGATGCGTGTGTGTGGTGGGGAGTGGTTGTTTCCATCTCACCTGTGCGTCGAGCAGCTCTGAGAATTTGACGTAGGGCACCTGCTTGGCGATGACAGCCATGACGTTGGCTACCTCAGCACACAACACCTGGCCGACAGACAGACCGAGGGCAACGCATTCGTCAAAGAGTGTGTGCAGGTGTGTGGATGTGTCTGGATGTGTGTGACCTGTTCTGGTTCCTCGAGTGGTCTGTTGTCGCCCTGCCGAAGCAGGTGGATCAAAGGATGCACCATACGATGCACAGCACTGACACACACACACCCACCGGCAAGGGATGTGATGTGTGTGGTGTGCGTGTGTGTACGCCCTGCCCTCTCTGTCCCTCACCTGCAGACGACGTCATAGAGGATGATGATGTCCATGCTCTCAGCCTAGAAGCACACAAGATAGTAGGTCACACATATACACACATGGCTCCTCGTGTGTCGTATGTCTTCCTACCGGCTGTTCAGGGTCGAGCTGCAGCGTCTTGCTGAGGATGCGAAGACACTTAGCAGCCACATTGCACTCGAGAGGCCTGCGACCACACATGCCAGGGAAGTGGTCAGGGCTGGTCTTGTCCATGTGTGTGTGTGGTCGGTTCGCACTTGCAGTTGTCCATCATTGCGATGATCTTCCTGACGATGAATGGGCGCTTGAGGTACTTGATCAGCTCACGCCGCAGCTCCTCAGACGCGGCCATCGTCAAACCCACATTCAGACACCTGCGCGTGGCGTGCAGTCGAGACAACACGACACACATACTCTACTGTCTGTTGTGATGTCGATGACTGACCTGAAGAAAGCGGCTATGACGTAGGATTTGCTCATGAGGCCCTCCGTGGGGTTGTGCCATATCTGACCGATTCGGTCGATGCGATGCGCCATGCAACAGACCGACAAGAAATGCACACAGAGGGGAGGTATTCCCTCACTGGTGTGAAGGTTGCGTTGCCTACGTATTTGGCGACTTTGAGTTGGTCGAGTGGCTGCAGGAACAAAGCAGACGACTCGGGACCTGCAGACACACATGAGTCAGTCGTTTCGTCCTTCTCCCCTCCCTCCCTCGGTGTGCGCGTCACGTACGTAGCGATCTGGGGCACCCCTGAAGACACTGCATCAGGATCTCGCGGCCCTGATGGAATGGACATACAACGCAGAGGCATGACTGTGATGTGCAGGGCGTGCGATGAGGTGCGTGTGGTGTGTCTGACTGACCGACAGTCTGCCGTCTTCGTTGTCTTCGTCTTCGTCGAACTGGATCTGAACGAAATCAATCAACAAGACAGCCGCTACAAATTTCTGATGGCTGGCTGCATCGTCTGACCCATCTGACTATCGATGGTGCTGTGCTGTGCTGTGCTGTGCTCACCACTTGTGCCTCGTCCGTCTTGGCAGCCTGCTCGGCCTGACATCATGGTGAGGGAGAGAAGAGATAATGAAGGCAGGGCAGGCTGTCTCTTGGTTGGCATGTATGTTTCCGTTTGCCTTGATTTCGAGCTCCTCCTTGATCTTCTTGGCCGAACCCTGCACACACACGACACACACATACACATACACACGTAGGCGTGCGTGCACCCATTTGTTCTCTCACCTTGAGCTTGGACACGAAGGTCTCGGCGTCCTCGCGGCTCTCCTCTTCGCGGCTGCACACGGGGAGAGAGAGAGATGCGCAGACATTCCATGGACAGCTCAGCTGGGTCGTCCTCTGTGTGTGTCGGTACATTTGTCGGATGTCCTTCTCCTTGGCGCACGCCGTGGCCAGGTACGTCATCAGGCGCTCAGTGCCGTTGATCTTGACAAATTGCTGACCACACAGGCGTAGACACATCAAGACGCAATGACTGACCCAAGACAGCCACAGTGCTGCGCTCTCCTCACGTCACGTCACGTCACCTCGTGTTGTTTCTGTCTGTCTGTGTGTTCGTGGTCGTCGAGGTATCTCAGTCGGAACTCAGCCCGCCGATCGTCCCACATCTTCCACTCGCGGTCACACAACATCTGAAGACACGTGCACGTGTGTGTACACACATCACATCACATCACATTCACACACACCGACCTTGAGCACGATGGTCTTGCCGCTGTCGAGTGCGTCGGATCGCCCCTCGAGGACGTCGGCGAGGCGTGCGATGAGTCTGAAGGCCACCTTCTTGAATGGCGACAGGCGGTCTGGGCCCACGAGGCACTGCAGCAGGTACTCCACATCGCGGCCCGTCCACGTCCGCTCCAATATGATGTCCTACATGCAGAGAGAGAAATACACATACCATACAGAGAAGGCTATGGCTCCTCATTTGTGTGTGAGCGCGCGTGTACCTACCTGGTTGTCGGGCGAGTGTAGTTCCTCCTCGTACTTGAGAATCACGCGGAAGCTCTGCATCACCGTCTTGGTCCTGAGACACACACACACACACACACAAGGGGCAAGGAAGGAGAGAGATGAGACATGACCACCAGACCAGTCTTGGATTGGTTGTGTGTGGCCGGCCACACCTGAGGTGTCTCCTGAGGTCGACAAACCCCGAGACCCTTCTGAGCAGATCCACTGCTGCGATGCTCAGCTCTGTCTTCTGGTTCTCCTCATCTCTACACACATACACACACACACACGCAGACGTGTGCTCACATCCGAACGACCTTGCTCCGTACCTGTTGCCGAATGTCCTCCGTGCAGCGTTTCTGAGCAGCACTTCGATGGTTTGTGCGATGGCGCCCTCTGCGTGGTCCTCTCTGAAGATGCGGCCGGCGTTGCCGTGCTGGTCCTCGGCCAGCCGCCGCAGCTGGTGGATCACCAAAGCCAACACCTTCTCGGTGTCACCTGCAAGCCACACACACACACACACACACACAGACGGTGTATACCCCCCCCCCCCCCCCCCC